AGCACATCTGCTCAGAGAGTTAACTATCAAATGTGTTGGGAAACACAGTTCTAAAAGGATAAGAGAAATATAAGGGATGAAATAGAAGAGAAATTATTTGTATAATATCAAACAAATCAGAATAAATATAGATATTTTACAGATGAAAAATTCTCCTCCTCTACCAATAGGTAATTGAATTGTTATCGCAGGGCAGATCAGAGTACACTTGGGAAACAGAAATAGTCATATGTAAACAGTCATGCTTATGGATAGAAAGAAGCATATTAGGGAACTCTGCTTTAGCACTGATAGACTCATAAACTAAAGCATGCTTCCTTAACATGGTCACTGCATTACCCTGGCAACTTCTTTCCAGTTTCCTTATCAGAAATTTGTAATACATGAAGAATAAATGGAGAATCCAGCCTCCATTTTACAGTGGCTGCCTGGCATCTGAGTATCTGAGTGTTATACCAATATTTATGTGAGAGATACAATCAGTAAAGCCCATAGCTACAGACCACAATAAAGCATTTCTGTTCTTCAGTAAAGGCACCTTCACCATTAAGTCCATTTTCTGCATCAAACCTCATAATATTATGTCATATACCTAATAAGTTCCCTAGTTTTCCCAGATCTGCATATTGTTTGAAAACCACTTTATGATTCTTACAGGAAAAATATTCTCAGATACCGAACACTGTTTTAAATTCAGCTGTTAGTATTATTAGTGGTGGTTTAAACAGAAGTCTCATTTGAGTCTGCATGCATTTCTGCAGGGGGAGTATTGGAGAACTGAATCATTGGCTCCTGATCTGCTTTTTAGACTGGATCCAGACCCAGAAAGAAAAAGCAAACTCACACATGAGTGGTCTGGCTGCGATACTTTGAACGTACCTGCAAAAAAGCCCTAAAAGCAGTGGACCATATGCAATGTCTAACTGATTAATCCTACTCTTTGGGTATTTCCGTTATTTCTAGTAAAAAAAGAATCATTAAAAAAATGGTTTCTGAGATTTTGTTTGTTGACTATGAGCCCTGGCCTGACCTCAGCCTTGAATTTAAATCCCCAGTAGAAGTCTGAAATTAATCCACCTCTGGCTTAGTTATCAGTAATTATAATTATTAACAGAAGTATCCAGCAAATGAATGGCTTTCAGTGACATGGTATTTTAACTTAGAATAATGGATAAATAAAAATGCCCTTCCTCCTTACCTTACAGTATCTTTTCCCATAGCAATGCAGGATCTGGTCCTTACATGGGCATGGTAAAAGACACAAGCCCAGCCATTTGCCTATATACATACACATTTGCTCAAACACTAAAATTCCACATATTACAGGCCTAAGCAGTTGAAAACTGGCTGCCCTGGGAACACTGGCACTGGAGCTCCAAACCCTGCCTTGCACATCAGTGGTCCCGGTGTGTGCTGGCTCCCTTACAAAGGCCATGCTTCCACCACGTGAAACAGTCTGAGCGAGCTCCCAGACTATCCCACGGAGGGACCGAGTGTCCTCCTATGGTCTCTCCCATGCAGCACGAAGGAAACCTGTGGCTGGGAGCTATCTGACCTGGAGCCAGCTCCACCAGCAGGAGCAGACTCAAAGGAGGCTGTCAGCTGGTTCAGACGCTGTGATTTCTTGAGACATCTCTCCAGCTATCTGCCTGTCAGCTGCTGTACTCGGAAGAGCTTTCATGGGGCTGAAAGGAATACCTTCTGCCTATTGTCACAGGACTCGAAAGCCTGGACCGTCACCAAAACAGGAAACAGAAAACCTAAGCTGCGAATCCAACTGAACAAATCGGCCAGATTGGAACAGTGTTGGGAAAGCCCAGCTTTTATTATAGCTGGATTGCGGGCTGCTCAGCACTGCGGGCAATCAGAGCACAGCAGCAGTAGGAAATGACCCTGTAGGGAGCAGCCTGCAAGCCAAACACAGCATAACCCGGACAGGACAGTACACAGAAGCAGGGAGGAGGCAAGGGTAGGGCCGATGAAGAGTTATAAGGAAGAAGCCAGGAACACGTTTGTAAAAGTGCCTAAGGGACTACAGGGAGATGTTGGTTTCTTTTAGGACAATAGGAACAGAAGTGAAGGGCACAGCTTCGCAGCCGAATTACTGCAGTAATCCATAAATTACTGCACACGCTTCATCGCGAGTCATGGCTCAAAAATTAAGGGCATGGATACCTCTCCGCGCACCCCACCTGCCAGGTAAACCAGACTTTTTTGTGCCTCCTCCCTCAAAGTTTAAGCTTCCATGTTTTTTCTGGCTGGGCGCACGTGCTCAGTCACTGCTCTACAGACAGGCAATAACTCAGTGGACTCTCTGGGCTCAACAACCCAAAAGCCCATGGGATTAAGGCTACATTCCTGAAAGTTAGTTAATTAAACTCTAGGTCAGGCTTTGTCTTATGAGGCTGAGCTGCTGCAGAAAAACAGAGCAGGTGACCATGAAACTAAAGACCATTTCATTGTGCAGAGAGGAGACATGAAAGCGGCACAAGCAACTCTGTTCTGCCATCCCTTGGTGGCTAAGTCCCTCGCTTGGCAATATATGTTCTCCTTTAATCCAGCCAGTTGAATGGCATGTCTATGCTGGTATATCAATATATGAACCACCTCTGCACTGAGGGCTAAAAGAAGCAGCTGAAGAAATAGATAAAATAATTAGAGTAGTCTGGATGCTGCCCCCAGGCTACACCCCTACCACCCCCAGTGAGATGAAGGATGGACCATGAGGTCCAGGGAAGACTGAATTCATAGGGCTTGGGCACCACTGGCTCACTGTTTCTGGAGGGGCTTGGCAGAGTAGCAAAATTAGGGAATAAATTGGGGGTTTCTGTGGCTGATCGTGCTCCTTCCTGCAGTGACTGCTGAGGCTGAGAATCGCCCTGGAGGTGTCCTTCCCCCGGACCCTACACAGTGGTCCAGTGAGCCCCAGATCTCCTCCTTTCCCCCACAGTTCACAGAAGAAAAACACTAGGATGTTTCCGTTGGCTTTTACATCATCTTTTTGTAGAGACTAATCTTCAGTTTCAACAATACATCTTTTGTGAAGCACTCCCAGCAGAAACCTTAGACACCTTCCCTAAGATCTGTTTGCTTACAGAAGACGAGGTAGGATTTGTTTAAACCCAGCTAGATTAATGTCTTGCAGACATTAGTGAAGTGAGATTTAATCAGGTTATTGCTCTACATTTTCCAGGGAAATAAATCACACATATTACTAGGTTGGAATAAGATGCAAGGCTTGGGCTGAGAACATTTAGCCTTTTTTGTTTTTCCAGGGGGGGAGCAAATGGATAACTTGAAAATTGCTGCAAGGCTGTTGAACAGGGAGCTCAGCAAACGTCCCTCAACGACTTGTAGGAGGGCAAAGAGAAAGAAAGCCATAATGGCTAGTGCCAGCCCAGGGGTGGGCCTCAGTCCCCATTCCCTGCCTTGCGGAGGTCCAGTCCTGACCCTATTTTACTCAGGCCTAATGCTCTAGGGTCCATATCAGTACAGAAAGCAGACAGAAGTGTTAAACAGCATTTAAAGCAGATTCCTGAGGTCCGTTTGAGATCCTCCAGATGAACTCTCCCATAACCCTGGGGACCTCACTCCTCTTCTGGGTGTCTGTTTCTGCCTGGGACATGGGGATGCCTCCTTGCATCAGAGGGGTGTTGTGGGATCAGGCAACATTTGCAAACCTTCTTACAAAGGATGGAACCTTCTTACTAAATGGAAACTGTGATGGTCAGCAGGTCTCAAGAGTATAGCTATATCCTGCTGCAATGGTTTCTAAGTTTGCAATATGTGTTTAACAATGAACACGCAACCGTATTTATTCACCGCAGACATTTTTCTAAACCAAAGCTGGCTAGAAAAAAACCAAACAGAAAACCAGCTCTTTTTTCAGATCTTTGATTTAAAAACTGCTCTTTCTCTCATTCAAAAAAGACTTCACTCTCTCTACGCTAGCAGTGTTTTCTTTAATACAAATGCTAATACATCCCCTTGTATAAAACCATGTATGTGCAAGAGACAAAGTTGGGGAAAACAAACTGCAAAGGTTCTCTCCTCTATACCAGCATGGGAACAGATAGCTGAAGCCAATACAAATCTTTCCACTAACTACAGGTTTGTGTGTGCTGAAGCTCCCAAAACCCAAAAGCTTTACATCCATTTCCCCTTACCTAATGGGCTGTGCAAACACTGGAGAAAGCAAATTACGGTAACACAGCCTGCAATCAAGTTTCAAATTGGGCAACAAAGCAGCACAAAACACAATGGGACCAAGTCAAAATCTTACTGCGGAGCACAGCAAAATACATCCTGTTCGGTATCAAGGAGAAAAGGAAATACGAGGCAAGGCAGCGCAGTTGCTTGTAAATACCCTCCTGCCAACGCTTTCCCTGGATAAATTAGTCCTCTGAACCCTGACTGCATCAGCCTGAATCAGCCTGTCTGCTCCAAGGTAAAGGCTACAATTCTGTTTCGTATTCAATGGGAACTCTTTTCCCAGCCTTTTTCTTGGCTTCCTGCTTAGAAAGAATAGACTCTCCAGAGACAATTTTGGATCTGGACCACAATCTTGCTCCCTTCAGATAACTAAGTATCTCCGGGCAGGAGTACATTTAAAGAAGCAGCTGGTAATTATGAGCCAAGTGCTTACTGGTAGGATTTCCCCCTGCTGCTGAGCCAATGCTTTTGGGAACTAAATGACTCTTTGGTGATAATTATCACGTAAAACCCACAAGCCAGGGGAGGTTCTCTCATTAGAACCATCAGCAAGAAACAATGCAAAGGTGGGCGGAGGATGGCTGAAAATTGTGTCTGAGGGTTGCTTGACTCCCCTGTCCTCCACACACCCAACATAGTTCTACATAATTGCTGGGCATTTTCTAGGTAGTGCTTGAAAGCTACAAAATCTTTTCCCACACCTATAGCAGTAATAAAACCAAATGACCTTTTCCTTCCCGCTAATCAAAATGAACTGAGCAGCACTGGAAATCCATCACAGCACTTACTCTTTTGGAGGGTTAAGGTCTTCTGGGCGAGCCTCAAAGAACCTGAAGACTTCATCGCACTGTGAAATGTGAGGAGGAAGCCGAACCAGCGCCTGCAAAACGAAACAGGGAGGGAGAAGCACTTAGAAAAGTCAAGTTCAAAACATGGCCTCAAACATCTAAACTACCAAGCAAGATGAGGCAAAACAGCGCTGGCAGGGGGAAGGGAATACAAAAGGAAAGCATCATGCCTGGCTACTTACCTGAGAAGAATGGAAATACCATGTCTTGACTGCAAATGTCAAGTAGAATGCAATGAACTGAGACAAGCAATGGTTCTTAGAGTCAGCCAATGTAATTTTTTTGCCATGTGTACAAAAGCAGAATTTGTTCCACGTGTGCAAAACCATAACACTGAGTAGGTAAGTGTTGTGTGGCTGGGACAGTCTGCATGATATGTGTTTGCACAGCACCTTAAACAGTGCTTAGGGCTTACACGCTTTATGCCAATGCATGCAAATTCAAGCAGTGAAAATCTACAGACTCAACACCCACTAATACAACAGATGAATGTGCTCCATAAAGCTTTCCATTAAGCACTGTCAACAGAAAAAGCAGTTTGCTAAAAAAACCCCCAACAAACCAAACAACAATTTGCTCCTAAATTAACAGGAAAGGAAGTTTGATTAAGTGACTGGAAAAAAAAAAGAAGGCAGAGAGGCTATTTCCGCATGAAGAAGGCTTCACATCACATTGTGGCTAACAACGTCCATGCATTCTGCAAGGCACAGGTACACAGCACTAATGCATTCAGCAATAGTTAAGTACCATTTGGGAAGCAACCACATTATGTTGCAGTGTACTGGAAAGCGAGACTTCAAACCAATGAGAGAAGCACACAAGGCAGAAACGTGCTATGAATTTGCTGTTCAGAATCTAGAGCTTTATGGTGCCAAAAGAGGCCAAAGAGCTGTCCTCAGCCCACAGAGATGGGACAGCAGCTCTAAGTGACGTGACTCTGAGATTGCCTCCAGAAATGACCTGCAGGAGAGGAAAAGAGGCTGGTGTTCACCTCCTCCTGTGCTAAGTTACATTGAAAATAGGCCACAGGTTAAATATAGACCAAGCTTCTTAGAAGTGCTGTAAACCTGTTTGACAAAATGAGATTGTCTGGCTCTTCTGCTACTTGAAAGTAGGACAAACAGTCTTGAAAGATGGATGAAAAACTGCACCAGAGCTAAATGAAGGTGCATTAGGGCGAACTGGTTATACTAACCCATGAGACATCTGATTGATCTTGGTCAGACACACCAGAAGGCAGGATAGGGCAGCTGGTTACCCTCACGGCTGTTTTTAACCAGGCTTTCAAAGTCACCAGATTTGTTTCCAAGACCACTCCTGCTTGGGGATGTGAAGCGAAAGAGCTGATAAATGAAAAAATCCTGCTCTGAAACTGCAGGTCTCCAGTATTAGATGATGAGGTCTTGTTTTGAGGTGACCTGAAATTCAGAGCCAAGTACTTCCCCACCTATAGCTCTCCTTTTCCTGGTGGAACCATGTTGTAAAAACACAAGGAAAATCCATTTGATATAAGCAGGCTTGTGAAGGATGAGGCCCTGGCCTTTGGTCACATGCAACTGCACTATAGAGCAGAAAGAGATACCTCGCAATAAGGAAGCAGTATCAGATGCAGAAGCCGGGCAACAGCCTGGCAGGTCTAAGTGCTGGGGCATGCGTACAGAGCATGGCTGGTTGCTGCACTACCACAGGATGCAACGTAACAGGTGAAAAACTCAAGTGCTTTAATTTGAATGAAGGATGCCCTGGTCCCCACTGCTATCCACTCAATCTTGCCTAAAAGCGTAACAAAGGTGTGAGCTCTCTGCCCTTATTCCAAGTGCACATAAATGCATGCATCCAGCTGGCAAATCAGGACTAACACTGGGAAGTTAGGAACTGCCCGGGAATAGTAACAGTCACAGCATGTTGAAAGACAAAGAGTAATGCCTCACCAGCACAGGCTAACAAGAACATAGACAACATTAAAAGCACGTTTTGTTCATCTGCATCTCAAGGAGGAGACAGACTTACATAGAGAAGCAATGCCGTCTGACCAACAGTGGATGGAGCTGAGATTTAGTGACGGCTCTATTACTAACGCCCTTCTCAGTTCAGGCAGGTTACTTAACCTCCTTCCATCAAATTCAGCAGGGATAAATCTTCAGTTACCCATTTACAATGCTGAGCAATAACACTTACCTAATCCGCAGAAAGGTTATGAGGCTCAGATATTTAATATCTACAGTGTGTTTTGAAATCTCAAAGGGCTTGATCTTGTGCAGTCAATGAGGCAAGAGCAAGCACTGCAAATGATATGTATCATTACTAGAGAAACACAAATACCCAAGTTATACCTATCGCAGGGGGTCCTGGACATCAGACACCTTCTCAAAGAGTCACCACTTCCCTACAGGTCACAGGTGTTCACCCTTCCCAAAAACCAGGCTACAGATGTCAATACTGAACTGGAGCACAGAGTAGGTTTTCAGTGATGGAGGAGCACAAATCCTATCAAGCTGCCATGGAGATTTGTGTTTCTAAATCTTTAGAAGCCTTAGGAAATCTGACCCCCCTGAATCAGTGGTCCCCTGCCTGGAAATATCCAGGAGCACTGTGGTCCTGCCAGGCCGGGGAGGGGTAATTCAAAAGCACATCCGTGACTCCAGGCTTTCACAGGCAGTGGATAAAAATCAGCCGAAGCCATTTCCACACCCAGCCATCCACCTTCCCACCCTACGGACATGGCAGCCCAGGGGCAGGGCAGGCTCTCCTGCTTCTGAATCACCTCCCAAAGTACTGCAATTTTCAGCCCAGTGCGCAGAGGTGAAATGAAATCCACTCGGTAGTAACCTGCCATTGCATGTTTTTCGGGGAACTCAGGTGTAAGTCTGCAGCTAGTCAATTTTTCCTTGTTTTGATTAAGGAACAAAGCTTTAAGAAGGGGTAAGAAATGCTAAGAAAGTGCAAACAAGGGAGTAAAACCAGGCAGAGTCGGTCTATTGATTTTGGACAGTGGCAGGGAGCAGCAAAGCTTTTTTGAGAAACAAACGTCTCTTCAGTAAACACGCAACATCCACCCAGGAGCAAGCCAAGTCCAACGCAATTCCAGCAAGCGAACAGAAAGTGCATTGAGGAGATGAGGGACACCACTGTCACTCTGCAAGGGGAAAATGCAGGTTTCTGGCATTTCCAGCAAGACAGCTCCAGGGCAGACCTGCAACAGCCTGAAGGAAAGACTGCAGGGTCAAAGAAAGAAGGGTAAAGAAAAAGAGGAAAACAGATGGTGAAAGGATGGAAAGGATAGGGAAGTGACATTATTCCTGGGAAGCGGAAACCAGAGGTAAATGCACACAGCTACAAACAGTAAGCATCCAGAAACAGCAAGGAATTTGCACAGGAAAGGTGAGAGATAAAAAGTGCCAGCGAGCAGAATTCAGCTTTGCACAACCACCAAGTATTATCAGTAATAGCATGTTTCCTTACTCGGCATGCAAAGGCGGACGTGCACTGCTCAGACCTCACATGTTCCTTAGGAGGTATGCTTTTATGTGTTATTTCATCCTGTGACGATGTCTGTCTCTGTATTACAGGTTTCAGACAGTCTTGCAGAGTGGATGATTTGAAAGGCTATTAGAAAAGCTGTAACACCGGGCAGGGTGTGAGCAAGCAGCCCTCGGCACTGGGGACGGCCGGCTACTCACAGAGCACCAGCTCATCTGCAGGCAGGCTGCTGCACGCCGCACACAGCGCTCGAATCAGAGCACCAGGCACAGGCAGGGGTTCATCGCTTAATGTCACGTGAACTGCAGACAGCCCCGTGGGGCTACGTTACAGCTCAAAGGCTCCACGAAATACATGCACATGGGTACAAAACCGTGCAGGTACGTGTAAGGATGCACTGAGTGCTCTGTGTTGCATTTATGCAGATACATTTATAAAAAACAGGCACACAGACATGTATATGTAGAGCTCTACAGCACGCGTGTAGGCATGTGATATTCATGCCACTGAACTTTATATGTCTAAAATGGGAGACTGGTCACACTGGTCTATCAACCTGTACAATCGCTAGAGAAAGACCGGCATCTTCAGGGGCTGCTCTGCCTATCCCACCACATATGTCTAGCTCTGGGTGGGGTGAATCATTGACTGTCTCTCCCCGCAGCCCATTGAGGGAGTTCAGATATATTGCTCTTGGATCCCTAATGTTCAGTGAGGTTAATCCCAGCTCTGCACACAAATACACAGAGACAGCTGACCGTACCGCATAGTTGTGACTCCCTGACTTTTCATATTAAGTATCCTGTTCTCAATTGTTTATCATTTCAATTAACATTAATCATTAGTGCCAGACATTTGGGAATGGCAATGAGTCCAGCAAGGGGCAAGGGGCAATTAAAATAGTTCATTTCTCAGAAGAGAGAAATAAATTGTTTCACCTAAGTGAAAACCCTTTCCATTTCTGTTTTGTTGAGAGCCTCAAGTAACTCTAAGCTTGAACCCAAAGCACTGAAGTGTGGAGGTTGGATGGCAAACACTAAGCGTCAGACAAAGACATGGATGAAGAGTACATGGTGGTGACTCAGACTGAAGAAGAAGTGGGGAGATGTACGAATAAGTAAAGAGCTGAGGGAAGGAAAAAAAGAGGGTGCAGAGTTTTGGAAGTAATTGGGACATAGTTCTGGGCCTCTGGCATGGAAGGACCATAAGGCAATGGAAAGCGAGGCTCTACTCCAGGTGCCGAGGGGCATTGCAAACAATTAATTCTCGTTACTGCAGCTGGTCTAAACACATCAGGATTCTGAAATGTAGATTAAAAAATGAGAGATAAAGTTTGAAAGTTTTTCATTTAAACTCTCATTCTTGACTACGACTAACTATTACTCCATCTTCAGTCAGCACCAGCTTAGCTGTACAATGGCTAGAGACAGAAACGTCTGTGTATCTGTCTTGACAGGTTCAAGGATTAAACCTTGAAAGAGAGGCAGGACTGAGAGACCAAGAGGCAGGTAATTATGTTTTTGAAGTGTGGTCTCTCTCACTGTGGACATTAATAAAAGAATGACCAATATTTCCTGGCACTGGTGTGACTTGCTCATCTAATTCTTATTTAGGTGGCGTGCATTTGGGTACTCAAGCCACACTACAGAAAAGCCTGTAAGCTTCTACTTAGATCCACCTCCAGTTGGGACAGCAGGAAGGCATGTGACAAGTTCAGGTAAGTCTTTATGACAATGGGACTTCACATCTTAACAGCTTCCCTGCACAAAGATGCTTCCCTCAATTAGGACCAATACACACAAAGATGCAAGTCTGCAAATGCTGGCCTGAGTCTTCCCAGAGGGCTGCGTAAGGAGAGAGCAGTGGTTTTGTGAACCACCGACCTCGGAGGTCCTTCTTGAACACAGGATGGTACATACTGGACAAGCACACACCAGAGGTGTGTTTGAGAGATCAAAAGCTTAATAAATAAAATGCCCCTGGCAAGGCAAGGCTATGAAGTTGCTCTTTCTTTCACACTGGCAAAAACTCCTAAACAAATTAAGAAAACGAGGCCCAATGAGCCCAGAGGACCTTAAATCACACTAAACTAATTCCAAGCCTACAGTTAAGAGGGAAATCATCCAGAGATACCAATTCCAGTGGGCAGCACACATTTACTGGCAAAACATAGTTTGTTTGGTAGTTCACTCAGGTTACCAGTAAGGACATCCAGACCCTGTACTTTCATGTTTACAGATAAGAAAAGTCCTGGATATCTTCCCCTGTGTGTCCCACTCCTCTGTTTTTCATTGCAACTTCAAAGTTTCTTGCGGCCTTAGCAAAACCACTGGCCTAATTACCTCTGTGATGGCATTTCTCTAAGCTGGTACAATGCAATGAAGAATCACCCAAGAGTGAGGGGTCAGGAGGCCCATGCTGTAGGGTCTGGAGGGCTGATGCCCCTGATACAGAACATTCTGCAGACCTCCCCTTACTGCCAAGTATCCCCACAAACTCTCAGACAGCCTCTGCCTGTCACTGCTCCTATGCCCGGTGCCGGAACAACACCACATCCAAACAGCAGAAGTCAGACCTGCTTCTCAGCCATGCAAATCACCACGCTCTGTCAGAGACAGTCTGCAAAAACAAAACAACAAATGGTCGAACATTTGCACGGCTCATTTGCCAGGGCCCATCTGCGCTTTTTCTTTCCAGGGCAGGTGAAATGGATGGAGAACCCTCATCTGGCAAAAAAATTACCACGAACTTTGCATCCAAACCTGCCTCCCTCCTCTGCTTCCTCAGAGATTCCAGTGGACAAAGGTCTATTGACTCATTTATTCATTTTATTATCCCATGTCAGATTTTCTCCACCAACTTCACCCACATCATTCCAGCATAATTCTCTAAATTTTTCAAAATTAAGCATGTTGTCTGCCTACTCATTTTAGGACTAGCATGGGCCATAAGCTTTGCACTCTTCTTTTATAGTAGCAGGACTGAACTTGTCAAAATGATGCTCTTGCTCTACAGTTCTATACAATTCTCTAAAGAGTCAAAACATCCACTGGACAGGGGAAGAAATGCAGAAAACAGCTCACACCTCCAAAGAGGTGGGCATGATCCCACTCTCAAGTCACGCACATGCACCAGCAGCTGTTACAGAGTAGGAAACAGTAGTGAGTAAGATTAATTTACTAGTGGGGGAAAAAAAGAAAATCTCTTCTTATACCAAGAGAGTATTCATTGCATTTCACTTCAGCTTTCTAGAAGTTAGCATCGGAGCTAAGCAAGTCACTCAGGTTCCCTCTGTAGTTACAGCTGAATGGAGAGAGACCCTGTGTCTGGTTTAGGCTGGTGAAATGAGGCCACTCTGGTTCAGACTCACCACCTAACTTTCTGTTCCCAATTAACAGCTTTCTGTCATTCCTACTTAACTTCATATTGGGATGGAAAGATTACAGTAAGATTATGAAAGTCATGTTCCCAGAAACATTATAAGTGGTGACCTTCAGCGAAGGTAGAAAGAAAGCATTTCTGAATTCTAAGCCTCTGCTAAGCCCCAGAGATAAAATCCTGTCCCTGCTGAAGGTCAGTAACAGAACTACCACTGACTTCACTGTACCAAGAAGCTCCCATTCTACAAGCTGTTTCCCTAAATTCTTTGTACCTTTGAAGTTCAGTGCCTGATTTTCGTCATTATTTTCAGTCTTGTGGACTTTCACATCCTGGGCCAGGTTTGGAACAGCAATAACATAAGATAATCATTCTTTGAATAAATGAAAATTGGATGAACCATAAATGTTCAAAAGAAAAACTTATTCTCACAAAATGTGCAGACTTAGAAAGGTTGGGACAGGTATGAGTTGCAACTCTCAGGTCCCTCTGTTTATTTACACAGGTTACCAACTGTGTGCTGTGGGATTTAAGAATGACTGGGTACGTCCTATGCCAGGCAATGGTGTGCCCAACTACCATCTTCATTTACTCTCTGTAATTAGGAGGAAGCTGTAGCAGAAGGTGAAGAAATGAGCCCATAACTGGATCTGGTGAAAGGCAGGACATCATAGCTACCTCTATACTGTTTTTGAAGAGTGGGCACAAGCTTGCCTACCATCCGCACTGGGGACAAATTAATGTCTGGGCATGGATTTGGAGTCAAATGCAGGGGATGGAAAAAAAGTTTGTCATTCCTTTACTTGCCAGTACTGGCCGGAGCACTCACCTACCTGCAGCCCAGACTGTTCAGGCACAACCACGGTCATATATGCTCCAACAAGATACATCCCAGGGGGATGGATGAGTTAGCTAGGGTCTTCCTTCCTTAAAGACCTGACACCCCATGCAGAAGGACACTAAGGAGGATGTAGCCCTCTTGAAGCACACACAGACACGAGATGCAGTGCCTGCTCTCAAGCTCTTCAGTGACTACAAGCCTCGCTCTCCAGTGCCATCCAGATCTACGCATCTTCTACTGTGAAGGACAGAGGCAATTTAAAGACAAATTATAGTAAACTGCAAATGAAATAAAAAGACACTACATCAGGCACAGATGAGCCAGAGATGACTGGAAGCTGGTGTAATATTCTGGAGAAGTCACTATAGGTTTGTCATAGTCATTGCTGGGCACCACTGTGGCTGCTGCTGGAGACAAGGAAACACTGGGCTGGGGAAACCTGGGCTAACCCAACATGGCTGGGTCTATGCTCATAAAAGCAGTGTCTATTAATAAATAGGTTAAGTAAACAGCTTGGCTTTGGGAAAGCATCCAGCCATGTCTCCGAGCTGGGCAGCAGCAGTAGATCTGCCCTGTAGCATCTGAACCAGAGTGAACTGAGCCAGACTTCTCCAGGAGAGAAAAAAGGAAGCGAGAAGGAGGGCAGCAATCACAGCGCCGCAGTGTCAATGAACGTGCCAGCGGCCGAGGCCACGACACATCCCTCGGCTGTGACCGGCAGGGCACCAGCGGGCCCAGCTGGGTCAGGTCGGGTCTGTCTGGGGCGCGGACAAAGGGGTCCCAGAGAAGCAGCTGCCCCCCTGGCATAAGTCACTGCTTTCTCCTCTGCGCATCTGCTGGGTGAACCCTGACATCAGCCCTCACCACTCCTGTCGCCGGCAGTTCCTGTCTGAAGGAGGGCCGCTGGGGACGCAGTGAGACCCTACATATTTTAAAGAGAGCCATTCGGCCACAGGCAGGAAGACAGTGCATTAACTGTCGCACAAGAAAGACTGATCTCATGAGATAAAACTTTAGTCGCAGTTTCCTCGCCCAGGGGGGTGCAGATGGCACGGGTTTCACACACACACCATGCCCCCCCCCCCGCTCCCCAGCATGCCTCAGGCACTTCAGCGATCTGCTCCCAATTTTGGATGAGCAAATGTCTGACTGGAGAAGTTCTTGGGAATGTATTCTTTCCCCTCCACCTGCTCTTCTGGCTTTCTAAAAACAGAAAGAAAACCCCATGGGAAATAAGAGAGGAAGTCTGGGGTTTAAATTATGCACTGACGCGCTCGATACCTCTAAAAAACTGGGTATCCGCCTTGCTCAGAAACGACTTTTAATCTACTGTCAGAGGATTAGTTATCATCAAATCATAAACTCTAAGCTAGAAAGGAAAGATTAGGTGACTTAACCTTCTCAACACAGCTGTGCTTTTCTGTCCTGCAATAAATTTCCAGGCTTTCACTCATCTGGAGAAGCACTCCTGGAAGCCATCGGTCCACCCCAGTGCTGCACCAGCTGGCACTGTCCCTCGTGTGGCACTGGGGGACAGATGGGCAGGTAACAGAAGAGAACGCCATCTTAGTTGTGCCTCTCTGCCTGCTCAACTCTTGCGCTTATAGAGGCTGAAGTAGAAATAAAATCCACATTTCGGCCAGATGAGGCTTATGGCCTTTACTGAATAAATGAGGTACCAATCCGGTGCATAAAGTTTGCAGGCTAAAATGCTGCAAAGACCCTGGGAGCAAACAGCAGCCTGTTTTCATCCGCCCTGGTAGTCCTAGCGGCGTTTGGGAAGGACCATCCTTACGAGGGACACAACACAAATGAAGCTCTTGGTAGTATCCCGCAGGGAAAGCCCAGTGTTGGTGGTGGCTATGAGCCCCCAGGCAGCAGGGCTGCCAGACGCTTCCCCGGAGCTCTTACCCTGCAGTACTCGTCGATGGGCTTCAGCCTCTTCACAGCTACGTCTCGGACATGGCTCCTCCGGAACAGGATCTTGCCTGAGGAGGGAACAGATGAAAGGGGAGGGTTAGGGGCATCGCCTGCCATGCGGGGTAGGGCAACGGCACCGAGCAGAAAGGTCAGCAGACGGGGTTCCATCGCCGGCTCCAACCACAGCTGTCGGCAGTGTCGGTGGCTGAGCTCTGCAACCCCATTACGTCCCCAGTGGAGGAGTTCCAGCGCTGGAGGGGTTCACACAGCAGCCGCGTTGTGTGACTGCGGTCCCCCATCGCTACAAGACAGACAGGACGGCACGCTCGGAGGAGGTGTGAGGGGCAGATCCGCTCCTGCCCTCGGAGCAAACTGCATGGAAACAAACACACTGCAGGGCAGGCAGCAGAGGGACACGGGGTAAAAGCTATTACAGGAGCGTGCATGGCACGTCCTGCAGCTGGATGCTGCTGGTCTTAAGTTTGCACAGGAGATGCAGCACATGGCCAACAACTACCACAGGCACAGCAGCTCTCTGAAACCTCAGTGACTGCCACCAAAGTCCTGCTTGTGTGAGCCACCGAAAGGGGACCACAGCGACTCAGGGGGCAGAGGGAGTTTTTTCTGATTTCATCCTATTGATAACGCCAGAAGTTTTGGTTCCCTTTGAGTGGTGGCATTTTCCTGGAATGGACCAACACTACGTTATGACTCTTTTCTACTTTGCAGCCGCTTTGGCATGTCCGTGCTGGCAGCGCAGGGAGCATTGCTGGGGTGGGATGCAGGCTGCATCTACGCCCCACGCCTGCCCACTCAGCTGCCTCCCGCTGTGGATGCTCCTGCCCTTGCAGGCAGACAAACCACAGAGCCAGCTCACGAGCAAATACAAGGCTGTTGGTGACAGAGCCCTTATAAATCTACAGAGGGAAACCAAATAATAGAAGAAAAATAAACAAACTCTCTTTTTTTGAAAGTAAAATAAATAATAACCTCAGTGTCCTTACTGGATGACATATCTGCAAGCAGTTAAGATTAAATAAACAGCTCGGTTTTGTGTGAAACTGATTGTAACAAAGTTTATCAAAATAATCTAGGAGCTGAGTTTCCCCACACACAAGGATGTCATAGAGTTGGTATTTTTTTGGCTAGAAGGGATTATATCTTCATAGCCTTTTTTGGTAGTTTTCTTCCCTTTTTCTTTTGTCCTGTACTTCTTTTAATGTAATGAGACAAAAAAAATTATATGTTCTCCTTGTGGTGGAAGAAAACAGTATCTGCCAGCATTATTTAGTCCATGAAATGCCTACATAAAAAAACCACTGACATATATACCACCCCTGCTCCAAACTTCTTCTGCCAACAGGCAAATAAGATACTGATCCATAGATCATGGGATAAGAAAATGGACTAGGAAATGAAATCAGATCCAAAATCTGAATATGTGGCTTTGATTTTGTCAAGATTACACAAGCCGAGAGGTTAATGAAATGGCAGCCTTTAACAGTCCAGTAGCAGAGGCTCTAAATCCTCCCAGATTCTGCCCCTTTTGGTTGCCTTTTCCTCCACAGCTGCTAATCTGGAAGGTGTTAAAGCCTTTTGTTTCAGACAGGAGAAAGTGGTTTATCTCCATCCCCAATTCTGGCAACAAAACAGTTTGCCCTGTGAGGTAAAGCCATTTCCTAGTGCCATAAATTTATCTCTCTGGGTTCCCTATGGTTATCTCATTACAAAGCTGGTGCTGAGCCATCCCTGTAGGATGCGATGGCATGCAGTCGCAGAGCACGGGGAAAATCTTCAATAGGTGTCCGAGATGTTCATCTGAGCTTTAGTGATTTAGCCAAAGGCTGCTGCAGAAGGAAGGTGGCACTTCCATCTCCCTGCACCGACTGACTTTGGACACACCAAAATCTTGCTGCGTTCCTTCTTCTCTGTCCAGTAAATGGGGAGAACTACCTGCATTTCAAAACATTTCTTATTATTTCTGATAGCCTCTAGGATCACACTGTACTTGTACTGCATAACTGCAGTAAGCTGCTTTTTGTGGGGGAAGAGGTGTGGGGGTAGCTGTAGAGAAAAGACTAGTTCCTTTCCCAGTGCTCCAGAAACGCTAGTGCGGGAGATCTTGGTATTTATTTGCAACTTTTATAAATATACTGCAAAGAGAAAGCAACATTTTGGAAACATTCTCACTTTCTGGCTTTCCTGTTTTCAGTTCAAGCCATGAGTCAAAAGTCGAACCGGTGTCCATATAAAAACATAAAGGAACCAAAGACTTAAATACATTAAGGATCTCTTGTAAATGCAATTCAGCTTTCCTAAAAGGACAGTTTACAGGGAGGCCCAGTCTTCAAAGTAACATAACAAATGAAAGACTCAAACATAAGAAACAAGATAAATATAATAAAGAACGTTATATTAAACACAGAGTACAAAAAAGACCCCAGGATATGATGAGTCTTAATTCAGTCCTTAAATGGAGATGGAAAATATCAGGATGACTGTGGTGTTAGGACAAAGCAAAGCCCAAAAGGTGCTTCCATTTTTATCCTTTCAGAAAAAGGAAGATTTTCCCGCTGATACTGGAAGCTGGAAAAGGCTCAATGAGGGCTGTGCGGAAGGCCTGTAGTTGCGCAGTCCAGTATGGCACTCAAAACTGAGATCTGGAGAAGGCTGAGTGGTTTAGAGCACCACAGAATAGCAATCAACAAAGAAAAAAGCAAGAAGAAAAACAAGGACACTCTGCAAGCACATTCAGCTCTGGTGGGAAGCAAGGAGGGATGCCCTTACAAGTCCTGGGGTCCTCAGGCAGAGAAGTCTCATTGCCCAGGGTACTGAAGCACCTCTTAGGAGGGACAACTTCCCAAATGCCCAGCTTCTCCCCTTTTCTGGGAAGACAGACTGTGCTGACAGAAGCTCGGCCAAAGCCATCATGACCAACCAGCAGGAACCACTGCAGATCCAGTACGAGTTACTATTGCTTTCTCCAGTTCCCCCATTTCCACTGGTCTTCCTCTGAAAGCAAGGGAGGTCCCATGGGACTGGAAAAGGAATGTAACCTGAGAGACCCATGCTGCACACTCTTTACACTCTCCAAGTGGGTGCACTGGACACAGACCCCATTAATGGAAAGCTTTGCCTAACGAGGTAGTTAGGGTCATCATAAAGAAATAAAGAGCAGGCAGAGAGCCGGACAGCGGGGCCATGTAAGAGCCAGTGAGGAGCCCTCAGGACGGCAGTGGAGAGGAGCATTTCATGCAGCACTAAGATGAAGCAGGGAAGTCCTGGGGTGGCCGGTAAATGCAGAACAGCCCAGGCAATTTCCTTGCGAGGGTGGAGTACTGGTTTATGTGCTGCTTGGCTTTTCCTCTGGGTAGTTTCCACATCTCTGAGGAAGGGATCTACTTCTACGTGAGAACATACAGTGCTGCTTCCTCTCTCCTGAATTTTACTGCAGCTCTTTTAATCCTCCTCAGGCACTACGCCCCCCTTTTACAGAAGGACGAGCAGCTTTTTAATCATGCTACAGCCCAGCTAGGAAGTGAATGGGAAGTCTGTCTTAGACTCAGATGTGAAGCTATAGGCTATGCAGGACGGTGCTGCCTCTTGCAAATACTTCATTCACCAATGTGCCAGGCTGGGACCAGGCCAAGGGGGGTCTGGCATATGTTAGGAAGGACTCCGAGGACTGCAGCACTGGGAAAGAGAGATGTGGGGAAGACACAGGGCTCCAGCCCTGCTGCTAATGCAGGATAACAATATTTATTTTTATCCTTTTTTCTTTAAAGAAAATATTATTCCTAGGAAATTAATGTGGATAAGAGGCAAAGTATCAGGTTTAGCATTGTAGGGGCATCTTAAGTCATCCCTTCATCTCTCTGTGTATATATATATATATAGACGTAGTCTTTAATTCCGCGACCACACACCTCTTCTCCCACAAGACCTCAGTTTCCTCCTGTATACACAGTGGGTGCACAAAGTGGGAAGAATAAAGCTATGCAGGAGACTGTCTATCTGGCAGCTGCTGATTCTGCAAGCTTAAAGGTATGCTCTGAATATCACTTTATTGCTGCATAACCTCATACTTGGAGTAGTATAGATTTTAACAAGTGCCATGGACCCCAAGAACAAACAGCCCTAAAAGCACCCCAACACTCTGGTCCTCCCATTAGCCTACAGGTCTGGGCTGAACACACTCCAGAAGGGTCCATAGCCTAATGCTTTGTAATGGTCAAGGACGTAGTTCGTACAGGCAAGAAGCCCAGCTCCTGGTGGGCTTGGTGACACTGTGGAGCACAGTCTGGAGGCAGGACAGCACCAAGCATCACTAAGCAGAGAAGCACTAGAAGTCCCCGAGGGGATGCCTAGCAGGAGAATCCAGTCTTTCCTTTTCAAGGGAGGGGGACATAAGCTATACAGTCCCTACAATCACAGCAATTGCCAGCTGTCACAGCAGCTACTGACCTAGACCGGTGATTTGTAACCTCTAAGACAGCCTCTGAAACAAATCTCCATATCACACCTTTCATTGCCAAGGGGAGGTTGCTGCCTATCTAGGCCTCAAGACCTTCTAGAGAATCATGTCTTCATGATCTTCCCACCACTGTGCCAGTGGCTCAGCCCTGAGCCACCAGCTTTGCTGCTCCTGGGAGCCAGGCAGTGAGTGGGAGCTGCGGCAGGGGCAACAGGGAGACAGGGAAATTGCTGTTTAGCTCCTTTCCAAATCTACCAGAGAACAGATCCACCTCTTGCTCTTACTCTCTGATTGCTGAGCTTGAGTGTCCTTTCAAGGGACATCTAGGTGATGGATTGGTCTAAGGACACCAGTTGTTTCATGCAAGGAGCGTCTGTCAGAGGTCAGGAAGAGCCCAACCCACTGTCAAAGGGACAATGGACAAATGCATATTCACATTTAATCTTCTACTTCAAGTACCATCACCACACTTCAGAGGGCAATACGTGAAGCTAGCCATATGATAAATATTCAACAGCAGACAGCCTGAAGACTAATGGGTGCATTAAAAATACTGTAATGTCTCATCTGATTAAAGAGACATGTGCTGCCTCT